CAAATCAGATTTGACTGGTACAGGAGGAGATTGTCCCTCCTTCTCCAGCAGAGCATCTGGTGGATTTGAACTGTGCACCTCTGGGATTGCAGTGCAGCTGAATTTTCATTTTGTAAATGAAGTCGGCTGAGACCACGGGGCGCACTCATGAGCAGAGCCGGCAATCAGAAGCAAGAAAGAGCACTCTGGTGGCCAGCTTTGTTCCTCGCGAGCAGCACTGTTAACCCCAAGGTGGTACCTCGGGCGGTTCAAACCCACCGGCCACTCCTCAGGGGGGAAAGGGACACTCTCCTCTGTGTGGAGAGGCTGTGTTACAGCCTCAGAGAGTCAGTGCAGTCTGCTGTGAGTCAGTTCCAACTCCACGGTGATGAGCTGAGAGGTTTTTGGGGTTTTTTAAATGATGCATTTTTTTTTTTGAGCAAGTGACTCACATTTTCGTTTTGCTTCCAAAAACCTCAAATTAAGTTCACCACCATCCAACTGATCCTGACTCATATTCACCCTACAGGTGAATAGACTGCTGCATAGGGTTTCCAAGATGGTAAGGTTTTACGGAAGCAGATTGCCAGGTCTTTCTCCCATGGAGTGGTTGGTAGATTTGAACCAATGACCTTTAGCTTTAGCCACTGTATAATCAAGACTTTCATCGGCTCCAGAAATTACACTGGGATCCAGCAGAGATGGGTTCAGGTTCCCTTCCCTAGAGGCCTCAGTTTCCCCACCTCTCAGATAGAGATTTGGGTTGGACCATCTCTGATCTTGTGGCCATCACACAGCCGGGAGAAATGGGCTCAATTTCCAGAGAAGTCAGTGCTAGGAGACGGTGGTGAGAGGGGAAGGAGGCCTGACCATAGCCTGCAACAGGGCGGAGCCGGGAGAAGAGGGCGGGGCAACGTGGACATGGAGCTGACCACCCTTCAGGCTCTCTTCTATTTCTAAGTGACAAGTTTGGAAGGAAAACGAGAATCTCTTCTCGGAGTCAGCAGAAAGGAAAGGTGGTGAACCCAGGAGAAGGCTGTGTGAATGGGGGTTTGGGGCAGGGCTTGTATGGCAGGATGAGGGCGAGGTTTTCGGCTTCCATTACCCATTACCCATACCCTATTACTTCTTCCTCTTCCCTCCCCCCAAGCCTCCCTGAGCTCGCTCTTCCTTCCTCTCTCCCACCTGATATTGTTTCCCAATTCCTGCTCTACCTCTTTGTCAGCGCCCCCCTTTCCCGCCACCCACCCCCATTGGAACTGAAGGGTGGAAAGGAGGGAGAAGCCAGGATGACAGCAGGAATGTGGTCAACCCTCTACCTCTGCAGGGAGACTGGGCTTGGGGTTCCCCCAGACCTCCATCCTCTGCCCCGTTCCTGTGGTACCTGGCTCAGTGACAGCTGAGGCTCTGACACCCCCAGATGCTGAGACTCCATGCTCCCCCATTTCAGCTCCGTTGGGAAGCTGAGTGGGGTGAGAGGGATCAGAGGAGCTGCCTGGAGCGAGTGGGGAGGCAGGTGGGAGGGCTGTGAAGGGGAACAGGTGGGAGAGGGAAGGTGAGTCAGCAGGGCAGAGCGAGCAAGTTTGCAGGGAGTCGTCAGGGGAGTCTGTAGCAGAGGCTGCACTGCACTGAGACTCCCCAAGTGCCCCCCCGCCCCCCTGTCCCCCCTGGAGCTCTACTCTGGCCTTCCAGAAAGTCTACCTTTGGGCTCTTACCATGACTCACCTTGGTCAGCCCCAGGTTGCCTGCAGGTTAACAATGAGATAAGACCTCTGCCCCTCCCACAATGGAGTGACTGTTACAAGTGTCTGAGCAGGTAACAGACTGGTGACAAAGGGGTTTGTCACCTTCAACATGCCATCACATCATCCGGGAAGGGGGGCCCTCCGTGTCCTCTTCTCCCCACCCTGCCTCCTTTCAGGAGTGCCTGGGACCCAGATCTTCTTCAGCTGTCCAGGTGTCTGTGTTCTGAGAACGCAGCAGGAAGGGGAGGAGGGAACCAGTAGGGGCTGAATGGCCCCCACAGACCCTTGGTGGTCCCTGAAGTTCACAGGTGCACTCTGAGAAATCTAAAGCCCAGCCCTGGGTAGAGGCAGGGGAGGCAAGGAGGCAGCCTCTCACCTTCATTCAGAGGACAGGCGACCCTCTCAGCAGCTGAAAATTCTCACTTTGGGTCAAGCCACCTTCTTAGTTCCCTGGGCCTCAGTTTCTTCATCTGTAAAATGGTACCATAACATTTATCCTAACTATCTCTTCGAGTTTGAGAAAAGGTCCATGGACTAAAGGATGGCAAATGGGTTGTGTAAACATAAAGCATTGTTATGAATAATCTGTAGGAGGGGCGCCTGGATCCCAGGCCAGCCTTTCTCCAAGAAAGAAGTCTCAGACCAACTGTTACAGCAAGCTGGGTGCATGATGATTGACACAATCTTGTTGCCATTCACAGAGTGGCCCCTGGCACTTCACCGTAGGGGTGCTTGTCTGCTGGGTCCCTGAGGTAGCTGCACCTTCACACAGAGGATTCCCAGGAGCAGGGAGGGTGCCCTTGGCTGGATGCCACACCCCAAGTCCTGGATGCACAGTTGGCAAAGAGAGTGGACTGAGAACTGGAAGAAGCCCTCAAGCTCACGGTGTCGGTGAGAGAGGACAGCACAGCCAGATCCCCACCACTGCACGCACGCCCTCTGCAACGGGACTTCCTCAGTTCCCTGAGGGGATTTGCTGCTCTGGGAGAAAAGGAGGAGGAAAGATGTGCCCGTGGCCTGGTCGTCTGCTCCCACTGGGGAGCTCTGGAGGTAAGAAGTGCCCTGCAATCTTACAGGCACATGTTCGAATCCACCAGCTGCTCCGAGGGAGAAGGATGGGCGGTCTCCTCCTATGTGACTTGCTGGAGGGTCAGCAATGAGATGGTTCCAGTCGATGACACACAACAACAACAACAACAACAAAGTGATTTGCTGCTCTGAAGAGAAAGGTTCCTTTACAGCCTCAGAAACCCACGGGGGCCTCTCTTGTCCAGGCAGTGTGGTTGGTGTGCTTTGAACACGATTTGGAAACCATCTCCCCACCTTTGTAGCTTGCCCAGTGACTTAGACTGACCACTAGAATGTGGCGGCGGTGACGTCATGTAACATGGAGGCCAGACCTCCAGCGGCCCTGCAGCCTTGGTCTCTGTCCTAGCGGGCTGAGGCTCAGAGGCCCTGCCAGGACTGATCCCGCCACAGGAGGAGAGGCAGCTGCTGTCTGCCCAGTGGGTGAGGCCAGCTTGGTGTTCACAGCCTCGCTGACACCCCAGGGGGGCATGGCTGCCTGTAGGAGCCCACACAGCCCCGCCCTACTGTGAACCCGAGAAATGACAAACCACCATTGAAACCTGTAAGTCCAGGGTGGTTTGTTACACCAGTGCAGGCTAACTGATGCCCAGAGATGTCCTACAGAGAGACAGCGCTCAAGACCAGGCTTCCCAGCTGACCCGAGAGCCCTGTCCACCTGCATCCATGGCAGCTGCAGGGGTCCAGCACGTGTGCACACACATATGTGGGGGTGTGAGTCGGGGGGGCTCTCACACTTCCGCTCGTTGGCATTCACAGGATCCTTCCTGAACATCATCTCTTGAGGGGGAGATGTGGTTAATCCATTCTGCAGACTATGAAACTGAGGCCCCAAGCCAGGAAGCAATTTGCAGAGGGTCCCACAGCGAGTACAGAGCAAGGCTCTCTGACTCATACCCAGGTCTCTGATGCAGCTCTGGGTCCTTTCCCTCATCTCCCAGGGAGGGTGACAGGTGATGAAAGTTCTCTTCCAGGTCCTTCCAAGGGTCCATCTCTCATAAACCAACACACACATGTTCTTCCTCCCTCCCTCCCTCTTTGCTGCCCCTCCCCTTTCAACCAGCCTACCTTATTGGACCATATACTTTATTAAAAATATATCATTACAAACTCCATCATCCATCTGGCTGGAACTGGGGGCCGGGAGGGAGTGCAGGGAGGGCTAGGCCCTCGTCCTGCCCCTCCAGGGCACCCAAACCCAACACCATCCAAGGGTTGATGTGGCTGGCTTTGGTGGGGTGACCTCAGGGGGTGGGGGCAGCCAGCTGGGTCAGGGGGAAGGGATTTGACTTGACCACTGATGGGAAGAGGGAGGGGTGCACAGAGGGACCAAATCTCCTTGTCCTGCAGGTAAAAAAAAAGAAAAGAAAAAAAGAAACGGCAGGAAGTAGATGTGGTGCCTCCAGCCGCCTCCCCCCCACCCCAGAGATATTTACAAAAGAAAGTCATGAGCAACAGGCCACAGTCATGCAAAGAAACGCACCCCCTCCCACCCCCCAGCTAGCCCAGGCCCACCCCAGAACCCACGCCCACCCCCCAGCAGTCCAGCCGCCTTCCCCAAGGTTCTGAGAGCAAAGGGTTAGTGTGAAAGGGTGGTGGCCTGGGGTCCCAGCGCCTCCGGTGTTAAGGGCGGGAGAACCCTGGCAGGTCGAGAGCCTCGGGGTCCTGGCCCATCCTGGCTGGTACTCTGGAGGTGGCAGGAAGGGGTACCCCAGTCCTTTAAGTCCCCGTCTCCCTCCAGGAGGCCCCTTGAGCCAGGGGCCTGCTCTGTCCTGAGTGTGGGTAGGGTGTCCTGGTGTCCCCTCCCCCTCCCCCAGAGGTTCTGGGAAGTGAGGGCGGGCCCGGGGAGGGGGTGTCAGATGGCAGACTCCCTCCGATAGGAGATGTTGTCCAGTGGGAGCGTGGCCTGCATCCTCTCCAGGTCCAGGTGACTGCCAAACTCCAGCATCCGGATGATGCCGGCCTCCTCCTTGGAGCCGGCCTCCAGGCCCAGGCCGGCCGCCACCGCGGCCGCGGCCGCCGCCTCCTCCTCCAGCTCCTCTTCCTCCTGGCTCATGAGGGCCAGCTCGTTCTCGTAGCAGAAGGCACTGGGCGGCGGCGGCGGCGCGGGCAGCACGGTGATCTTGCTCTCCTGTAGCTCGCGCGCTGAGCAGCAGGGCGTGCCGGCCACCTCGTAGGTCTTGTGGAAGCGCGAGTAGTCCACCTTGTAGTGGCTCTTCTCCTCGAAGACCACCGGCTCGAAGCGGTGGCCCCACAGGATCTCGCTGGCCAGGTAGGAGCTGCGGGCCTGGGTGGTCATGGCGGTGGCCTCCACCATGCCCTCGAGGATGACCACTATCTCGAAGTCCTCCGACTCCAGCTCCTCCTTGCCCATGCCGTACAGCGGGCTGTCCTCGTCGATCTCGTGCACGATGATGATGGGCGACACCAGGAAGATGCGGTCCAGGCCGATGTCGTAGCCCACGTTGAGGTCCCGCTGGTCCAGCGGCAGGTACTCGCCCTCCTGCGTCATGTAGGGCTTGATGAGCTGCGCGCGCACGTGCGCCTCCACGATGTGGCTCTTGCGCAGGTTGCCGACGCGCCACATGAGGCACAGCTTGCCATCGCGCACCGAGATCACCGCGTGGTGGCTGAACAGCAGCGTCTGCGCGCGCTTCTTGGGCCGGGCCATCTTGGCCATGATGGTGCCGATCATGAAGGAGTCGATGACGCAGCCCACGATGGACTGCACCACCACGGCGATGACGGCCAGCGGGCACTCCTCGGTGACGCAGCGGAAGCCGTAGCCGATGGTGGTCTGCGTCTCCACCGAGAACAGGAAGGCGCCCAGGAAGCCGTTCACGTGCATGATGCAGGGCTTGGGGGCCGAGGGCGCCGCGCCTCCGCTGCCCGTTGGGGACCCCGCCGCGGACCCCGGCGCGCTGGCGTCCAGGTCACCGTGGAAGAAGGCGATACACCAGAAGAGGAGGCCGAAGAAGAGCCAGGAGACCAGGAAGGCCGCGGAGAAGATCATGAGCATGTAGCGCCAGCGCGTGTCCACGCACGTGGTGAAGATGTCCGCCATGTAGCGCTGCGACTTGTTGCTCAGGTTGGCGAAGTACACGTTGCACTGGCCGTTCTTCTTGACGAAGCGGTTGCGGCGTTTCCGCCGGGGCACGTGGGCCTGCCCGTTGCGGCTGTGGCTGTGCATGTCCTGAGGCCAGCAGGGTCACCTGGGCAGAGGTGAGGCCTGCGAGGAGAAGCCAAGCCGGACAGTGAGAGGTGGGGACTCTCGGCAGGGAGGAGCCTGTGGCCAGCCCTCAACCTCCCTCCACCCAGGTGGTGGGACAACAGGGCCCCCCCGCCAGTGTCACTGAGGCTGGGGAAGCTGAGGCCACCAGGGTTCAGTGGCCGTCCTAACCCCTAAGCCTTCTCGGACCCAGTGTTCCAGAAGCTTCCTCACCCCAGCTTGACTCCCCTCTACCCTCGTTCTGTCTCCACCTGCCTAGGCCCTGGGTTCACTCTGTCTCCATGAACTGGACATTTTCCTTTGCAAATAGGTGACTGCTCAGATGGCCGTGTGGTGAGAAGCTGCACTGCCATTCTGATGTCACACAGTTTGAATCCACCGGCAGCTCCACGGGAGAAGGATGGACAATCTCCTCCTGTGTGATTAACTGTCCCTGAAAACCCGCTCAGCTATGGGTCGGTTCCAAGTTGGGGATATTCAACAACAACCACCACAGCTGCTATGAGAAATCATCCTTTGGAAGGGGACATCATGCTTGGAAAGGTGAAGGGCCAGCAAAAGAAAGGAAGTCCTTCAATAAGATGAAGTGACACAGTGACCACAGCAAAGGACTCAAGTGTGTCAGAGTTGATGAGGACAGCGCAGGACAAGACAGGGTTCATGTTGTTCACAGGGTTACAGTGAGTTGTAGTTGACTCATGGCACATACCAACGGCGGCCGCCTGGGAAGGAGCCTGGTGGCAGAGTGGATAACATTTTAGGCTGCTAACTGAAAGGTCAGGGAGGTGCCCCAGTGTTACAGAGTTATGCTGCCAGCCCAAAGACAAGTGGTTCAAATCAACTTGCTGCCCCTTGGGAGAAAGATGGGTCACCTCCTAAGTGATTTACAGCCTTGGAAAGCCTGTCGGAGGGTCAGCTGAGTCTCTTCTGACTCAGCTGGTACATAACAGTAAGATGGTACATAATAACAGTTAAAGGTCAGGACAAATAGCGCCACTGTTGTAAACCAGGACTGACATTGGGGTTGGGGAGAACCTAAGAAAAGAAGGGATAAATAATATATACTGCATTGAAACAATGAGGGAGAGAACTGTCTAAAAGGAATACAGGATTAGGTATTATTTTCATGACAAGATTACAGAAAAAGAAATGAATTAAACTGGACTGTGGACCAGGGGAGGATTGTATAACAATGAAAGAATTTTTTTTCTTCAAAGAGAAAAAGGAACTGAAGGGAGAGGTGGACAGGGAGGGAAATGTGCAACGATGAATAGGGAAAAAAATTAAATGGAAAGAATATGCTGTAAAAAATATATATGTTGCCCAGATGCTGTGCTGGAGAAAGAGGGGCAATCTCCTCCTGTACCAGTCAGATCCGATTTGATGGTACACGCACAAAATAATAAAACAAAAAGAAAAAAATTTAAAAAAGAAAAAATATATATGTTGCATTAAAAAACATTAATAAAAACAACAAACAAAGAAGTTAAAGGTCAGCAGTTCAAATCTAGCCAATCCATCAGAAAAAGACGGGCCGCCTCCTCCTGTAAGGAGTCACGGCCTCGAGACCTGCTGGACGGTCACCAGATGGACCGCTCACTGGTGGTGGGTTTGGATTTTTGCTTTTAGCCCCCTATGCTCTTTTCATTTGGTGGCCACAGCCAGGGACTCAATTGGACAATATTTGTGAGGACCATGCAGAACTGGGCAGAGATCCGTGCTGTTGTGCGTGGGGTCACCAATGCGATGGCTCCTAAAAACCAGCTTGGGAGCTCTGGTGGCCTAGTGGCAAGAAGCCACGCTGCTATCCCGAAGGCATGTGGTTCGAGGCCATCAGCTGCTCTGCAGGAGGACTAACAATCTCCTCCCTCGGAAAACCCTCTGGAGAGTCTGCTACGGGTCAGTTCCAACTGTACAGAACACAACAACAAAGTAAACTGTAATCTTCACGTCCTCAGCCACACTGCTACGGTTGTTGGGGGTGTGATGTGCTATGACGTTATATCCAGCTTGGCCCTCCAGCGAGCAGGCTTTCAGAAGCAGCAAATCGCATGGGAGGAGACTGCTCCTCTTTCTCCCTGAGCAGCTGGTGGATTCAAACCGTGTGCCTTTGGCTTGGACGTGCAGCTCCTTGCTGCCGGTCACGTTCAAATGCCCTGTGGCCACGTGTGGCCGGAGGTGACCACACTGGACAGCATGGATGCAGAGTCTGTCCATCCTTACAGAAAGTGCTGTGGGTATCAGAAGCCTCAGTCCCAACTCACTCCTCTCGGACCCCTCCCTCATGGCTTCTTTCAGTCTCTGGGCCTGGATTCCTGTAGCGTCACCACGTCTGTCGTCTGTCAGGGGCAGAGAGCCCAGTCTGGATGGATGGAGGAAGGGCTGTCCCCTCACTTTGGCCCTGTGGACTATTGCTGCCCTCCTGTGGCAGGTGAAGAAATGGGGTCTCAGGTAGGGGTAGTGAGGTGCCCAGCTGGTAAACAAGCAGATCCAAACCCAAGTGTGTCCAGTCCCTGCGGATGTGTTCATGGGTGGACAGACCAGGGAGTACCTACTGCCCAGCTAAGTCACAACTCATTTGCCCTCTCTCAGCCTTATTTTCCTCATGTGTAAAATAAGGCTCAGGATCCCCACCTCCCAGGACATAAAGGAAGTGTAGGAGCTCCCCTAAAGCCCTCCTTCCTGCTTCCTGGGAGTGGGAGAAAGTGGGCAGAGGCTGACTCTCACTGTCAGTGTCCCCAGCTGTTTGCGCCGAGGCGGCCCCTCATCTCCACCAGCGCACCAGCACACTAGCGAGGCCCTCGGGGTGACAGTCCCTCAGCCTCCCACCCATGGGTCCCAAGGAGTGAGGTGGTGCCGTCCCGGACCCCAGGATGCGGGGCCAGCCCAGCTCAGGCTGTGGGTAACGTTTTGGCCCAGAATTATATAAGGCTGGAAGTTTCTATTTTCTGTTCTATTCTTCTTCCTGATCTAATTGTGCATCTGTGGCAATGTTTATACACTTCCCGGGCTCAGGACAACTCGGTTGCCGCAGCAACCGGTGCGCGCCAAGGCTGTAATTTAGAGATCAACAGTGCCAGCACCTGCCTCCTCCCCAAGAAACCCCCTCCTCGGCCCTGCCCCCACCCCTCCCCGCCCGGCCACACCACCCCACACGGGGTGTTTCTCCTCACCCCTTGAGAACAGCTCCCTGGCTCCCTAAGGCCTGGGTTTGAAATTCAAATTCACCCAGTGACTTGGGCAAGGGATTTAACTCCTCAGAGCCTCAGTTTCCACACCTGGAGAATGGGACCAATGACAGCCAGGGTCCCTCACGGGTGGTGTGGCCATGGCCTCCTGTGGGAAGCCTGCCCTTTGGAAGTTATAACTGCAGTCACAAGAGTTCCACCAGCCAGCGGCCAGCACCCACTGTAGTACAGAGCTTTCCAGAAGAGCTTTCCTGGCTGACAAGCCCCCTCTGCTTAGGCTAACCGCCTTGACTGCCTTCACCAGCATCAGGGCCAGTGCATGGCAGCCAGTGAAGCCCAGGGACAGAAGAGGTGCTGAGGGCGCCAGGGGGCCAGCGCTGGGCCCGGCCCTGTCCACTGTCTCAGAGCTCCTTGAGCCTCACTGCTTCCTCCCTAGAGGCCTCAGGGTGGACTGTGGTACGAGGGCAGAGAGGGCACCAACCTGGTGTCCCACCTAGAGTCTCCTGCCAATCCCCTCCCATGTCCACAGGTCACGGCGGGGGGGGGGGGAGGGAGGCAGAGGGCCAGAGCACAGCACTTGGGCCTTTCAGGGGAGAGGACACCTGGAGAAGACTTGACTCAAAGTTGAACTTGAACCCAGGGTGCTAGGGACCCACTCATTCTTTGCCCAGTTGGACTGCGCTCGTGACCTGGGGTTTTTCTGATGCTGAAGAAGTTCATTATGGGGGTCTCCTAGGCTGGGGTTGGGGAAGTCTCCCCATAGTAACAGGAGAATAGAGACCCCAGGCCACCCCTCAACTGCCCTGCTTACACCCCTATCAGTGAGCCAAAGTGACCAGGCTTCAGTCAAGGCCTATGTCTGAGGGTTAGCCCAGAGGTTCCCCATATCTCCACTCCACTTACCCCTACCTCCACTGTCACCTCTCACCCCAACACTGCCCAACCTTTGCATACACATTCACTCTCACCCCAATATTCATCTCAGCCCCGACACTCACCCTACCCCAATACATCCCAACCCCAAGAGTCACCCCAAACCAACATTCGCAGCAGCTCCAACCCCAACATCCATCTCTGCCCCCACATATCCCAACCCCAAGATTCATCCCAATCCACCTCCATCTCAAACCACCTCCAGCTTCAACATTCATCTCCAGTCTCCACATTCCCGCTTACTCCAAGCCTAACATCCATCTCTGCCCCCACACATCCCAACCCCAAGATTCATCCCAATCCAACACTCAACCAGCTCCAACTCCATCTCCAGTCTCCACATTCCCGCTTACTCCAACCCCAGTATCCATCTCTGCCCCCACATATCCCAACGCCAAGATTCACCTCAACCCAGCACTCACTCCCACCCCAGCTACAACACTCCCCCCAGTCTCTGTCCTCTCAGCCTTCCCATGGCAGCCCAGCAGGGCAGTTTTATCTCCCCTCACTCCTGAGCCCCTCCAGGCATGGACTCTCAACACCCTGACACATCTGCTCGTTAATGGAAAGCTGCCTCCCCCAGACGCGCTGTGCTCCCCCTAGACCTGCCGCCCCCTCCAGGAAGGAGGCTTGTCTTCATTAGATGGTGAGCACACAGCATCTTATCTGCCAGTGACCTGCTCACTCACGTAAATGAGACTCTCGTCTCCAAGGAGAAGCTCATCTGCCAACATGTGGGCTGACCTGCTGCCAGCAAGTGTACAGAGCCTGGCGGTGAATTTTCACAGACAAGCTCCAGGAGACGGGCAGGTTTGCTTCTGGACCGTCCCACAGGGCTTCGCAGGGTGGTCACTGAAGAAGGAAAAGTTGGAGAGGGAA